CTGCTGAACTCGTGACTTTGCAGTCTGACCACACCAGACTCCCTTTAGCCATTTAACAAGCTTCTGCCTTCTTCTGACTTCCAAACTCTCCAGTTTTCCTCCACTTTTATTATAGCTGTCCCTGTAATGCAGGTCAGGTGCAAAGGTGCTGAGACTCATTTATTCCTTCTGGTCACTGATGAACTATGTGAAGACTGGACTTGGACAAGACAGATGTGAACTCTGGTCTTGTCTTCATCGTTTAGGGTACCTGGAAAGGTGCAGTGTCAGCACCATCTGCATCCTCCACTGCAGGACGCTCTTTGCAGCCAATGTGTCATCTCAAATCAAGTTTCCTACATCTGCCTTACAATTAACCTTTCCGCATCATCTACAACTTATTATATTTGCCAAATTTTAATAGGTATTTGACCATTATTGCTCATTTTAAAAAAACCCACCAACCCACATCTATTTTCTTAAAGAAAGTACATATAAACTGTAACTGATACTATTTATTATCTCCGAGAACAGAAGGCAAACAAATTCTGGGGTAAAAACTCGTGCAACACTGTGGGACTCAACACCAGATGTGGTTGCATAACAGACATAAGCAGATATATAGATGTGAAGCATCTACCTTATCTGTCCAGATTTTCCATTGGTTTGCTGCTATAATACTAATTTTAACATGAAATTAAATTTTCTATAACCGTAACAAAATTCATTAAAGAAAACAGAAATGGATGTTTCTCATGAAGGCTCCAACATGGCACGCAAAGTCTAGACTGTGACACAATGATGCATTTTCCTTCTTCAAGAAGTAACTGTGTTTTTTTGATATGTCACAGTGGGGCCAAAATACTCCAACTATGGGGCCAAAATAAGCAATTTCCTTCCTTCTTAGTACTGCAATTTCACAGTACTGCAATAACAAGAGAGTGAAAATACAATAAGGAAAACAGCTCTGGCAATACTTTGGACTGAAAAATTTCTCACAACGTACTCCAGAAATTTGAGTGCTCAGGTCTATTCCTCTATTCAGAAATGCTTAAGAGACTCCATACTCATGTATTAAATAACAAGTGAACTATTGCATTAAACAATTAAAAACTTCGGAGTGAGACTAGGCCTTATGGTTGCTATAGTTTCCTGAAGATTTATTTTTTAAATAATCATAATGACAGTTACCTACCATTCTTGTGTAATTCTTGTTTTGAGCTCAGGAAGAAGAAATTGTCCATGGAAACAATAGATGGAAGAAATATTTGAAAAGATGCCTGTTATCACTTCAGATGAAATACCTGCTTCTGACAACTTAGTGCAAAAAACCTGCACGAGACAAGACAGTACCAACATATATTTATGAACAACAATCCCAGACACGCTGGCTTTAGATGGCAAGATTACAAAGCTGACTGCCTTATAATAGAGCTACAATTTTTGACTTCTGGTAGTCAGTCCTTGGGGTCTTTAGGGAGGTTCACAAAACGCAAGCCCACTGTCAATTAGGATTAGACTTATGACTACGGGCCATAGAGGTAAATTAGAAAAATCCAAGGGGTAAGTTGAAAAAATATTGAAACTACTGAGAAGATCAGACATCTCGTATTCGGGAGTGCAAGTTGTAAAGAACAACCAGTCCCTGAAGAGCACTTACTCCTATTTATGTGAAGCAAAATAAACCATGTGATTATTTTGTTTCTCTGTGGGAAAAATTACACTGTACTGAACAAAAGGGAAAGACACTCCCTCAATTTCTAATGGCTTGAAACAGTCTCTACTCATCCAAAGCAAACTTTGGAAAGTCTTCCATAGAAGTCCTAGAATTGTATGGTAGAGGGCTCTGCAAGTTACAGCTTCTAACAAGATTTCTAGCAAGGTAACTATTTTCTTCTTTTTTTTTTCCACCCTCATTTTGAAAAAGTACTTGCTTAGCAATGTGACTCATCCTCATTTTTTACCTCTTTCCTACACACTCTTTTTTTAAATTTTATTTTAAGATAATTATGGAAAGGCCTGCATCGTGTAGACTTACCTCAATGTTTATGTGGAAGAAAGTTCAGACTCATCACACCAGTTTTACTTTACACGTGTAAACATGATGGACAACAGTTACAAAACACAGTGGGTAAAAAAAAATAATTCACTCTGAGCACATGGCTGACCCATGTGGCCTGATTTTAGAAAAACTCAAACCTCTTGCACATCACAGAGCAATCATGGATTTCATCATTCTTCAATGCCTTCAGCACCCCTGTGACTTCCTCTCCATGTCCGCTCAGGGAGGAACCAAATGCTGATGCTGTCTGTAACTTGGGCTGCTGCTTTCTTATTCCTCTTTCTGACATCCTAATCTTTGGGTTCTAGCTCAGGGAACCCACTAGCCAAAAGCTCACCTCTGGGACCCACAGCATGCAGCCTGGCACGTAAACTCCATCTCCCAGCTACAAACAGCATTTTCACACTATTGGGCTGTGGGCTAGGGGATAAACAACAGACGTCATTGCTGCTCACAGAAAAGAAAGCAGAGTTTATTCAAAACTGAATTACCTGGTCCAACAGATGGAGTCTTTTAACATAAGCTTCTTCTGTATGGAGCAGTTCATTTGCGATGTTGAATAGCTTTTGTGGCTCTGTACACTGAAAAAAAAAGTTACAAATAACACAATCAATCTTCACCTACAAACCCAAGTTTCATCAACTGTTCTTTTTTCCCTTTTCTCAGTGGGCCAAATTCCCTGCCAGTAGAGAAGCCTGAAGTGAAGGAGGTTAACACATTTCAGAATCTGCTCCGCATCCCTCATTAAAGGATCAGTTTGCTCCAGAGACATCTTTAAAGCTATCTGCTGAAAGAGCAATTAGTAATGAAGTCAATGGCTGCTCAGGACATCACTTTAGTTCATTATGGTTTTCTGTAAAGAACCAGAAACATTATCCAAAACTGGAAATGTGCCTGGTCTATTTGGTAACTAAGGCACTAGACTGTAAATCAACTCTTCTCCTTTTTGGATTCAGGTCCTGTGACTAAAAAGAAAACAAGAAACAAGACCCGTTTGGCCACAGATTTCTCTCTCTGTCCAGCGCAGCATTTCTATGGCATATTTCTAAGATTTTTTTTTAGCTTTACACACCTGCCAATTCCCTGGAAAGAATTTTCAGCAATGTAACCCAAGTCACTCAGTGAGGTCTTTCATTAAAATCATTTAAAAAAAAATAAAATGAGAAAGCACTAATTAAAAAAACTCGAATGCAGTTATGAAGCACTGACTTTATTCACAGTTTAGCCAAAGGCTACATAGGCTCTTCACTAAGTGCTCAAAAAGAATTCAATTATTAGGACACAGGCTTTAGCTTTTGGACAAACTCTAGATAGCTTTCTAAGGGTCTAGAGTTTAAATGCCATATAACCAAACCAAAACTAGGGTCCAGAACTAAGGGCTGGCTGGTTTGTGTTTGGGAATACAAACACCCAAAAGGGACAGCAAGGACGATCAACTGTAGAGAAATTTTACAGGGTTGGATCTGGAAATAAAAAGACAACTGCATTGAAGGTGAGAGAGATGTATAAATGATTAACAGAACAGAGAGCACCAATGGTGTGCAATTATTCACTATTTCTTCCATTTCTTCAAATAAAATTACTGAGGTGCTGCTTCAAGACCAAGAGCGGCTCCCTTGATCAGCACATCACTGCAGACAGTAAACCTTCCAGCAGGTTCACAAAAGGACCAGACAAATCCATGGAGTAAAAGCTCAGCTGAAGTCTATGAAACACGTGGGGTTGTTTCCAGTTCAGGAAGCACCTGGGCCCCTCACCACCAACAGCTCTTTCTATCCCCAACGTCGACCTCTATGTATGCACTCACTGGCATTTGTGGCAGGCACTTCTGCTGGCCACCATCAGATTGTTAGAAAACGTATATTAAATGCTCTCTTGAAGCTTCTTCAACATCATCTTGGTTTGTTTCTAAACAAAGTCGATGAGAATAATTTCAATACATTCCCTCTCCCCCATTTAGGCAAACTGCAATAGAATTCAAAGACTGCAAGGACTTTTCAAAGCTAGCCATGAATTCCAACAAACCAGACCAACACTTGTCGTACATGAAATTAGGTACCACTTAGCATGAAGTGCCCACTGCTCCGTGGTATAAGTTACTAACTGAAGGGAGGTGAATAGCTTTTCTGGATTTGAAACAGCATCAGTCTTCCTTTAAAGCAATCCGTCTCTTTCTAGGCACAAACCTGGAGACGGGCAACCACGCCACGAATAAAGCTTTGACACATACTCTGCTTTACCCCACTACTCAAATTATTTCAAGCAAACCCCAATACTCTTTTAAGCGATTCTAACATGCTACACAACACCCTGCTCCATTAATTCATGTGATATATATTAATACTTAGGGGAAAGCAAAAAAATATAAAAATCACAGCACAACAAAACTTGTTACAAGCAAATCATAGAATCATAGAATCACAGAATGGTTTGGGCTGGAAGGGACCTTAAAGATCATCTAGTTTCAATCCCCCTGCTGTGGGCAGGGTTGCCAACCACTAGCCCAGGTTGCTCAAAGCCTCATCCAGCCTGGCCTTGAACCCCTCCAGGGATGGGGCATACAACATATGACAGCTTATAATGAAATGCAGTGTTCGCCAGTCAAATTCCAATAACTACAAAGATCTCTCATTGAGAAAGAATTTATTTGCCAGTTCTGCTGGGTGGAGAGAAGCACCCGAGTGAAAGGCACTGACATAATCTGGCTGGCATGCCAGCCACCAAGAACATCCTTTGACATGTTTGAATTCAGAATTTGAAAAATACTTATTTCCAACAAAATACATTTGTTCTCAGAAGTAAATCTTTACATAGCGCAGGCACTTTTTAACCTCCTGACCTTCACCATCTGCAACTCAGTTTATATTTCCAAAAAACTTGCTGACATCTGCTTAAATACCAAACAACGGCTGAACAGACTCTCAGCTTGAGCTCAATTTTAAAGAGCGACTCTTTCTTCAGTTGCTGTTTCTGCTAGTGGTAGAAATAGGCATGTTTTCCAGATCAATCTGCAACACATTTGCCTTGCAATGGACATAAAGTTTTAAATGAAATAGTAGATTAATTAAACATGAGGCAGTCCCATTCTTCTAACCTTATTTTGTGCCACTGCAGGACAGCTTTAACAAAGCCTGAGCCATAATTCAGTTCACTGTGAACGAGATATTTCATGGACTATGTTTCTAAAGGAAAAGTAAAACAAATTTGCAAACTCAAATGTGGATTATATTCCTTACGGAGGAGTCTTATTTAAGTCTTTATGTCACACCAGTGAAGCACACTGAACCTTACTAATGAAGCCCTGAAAAAAACCACGCCATTTAAAAGGCACATAAACAACACAGAAATGTAAAAATATCTGTGGTTTTCCACCCTATGCAGATTTTAGGCTGCTCAGTTCTTGTAAATTTTTCCTGCTTTGCCCAATGCACTTGCCAACTGACTGCTTGGCACGGCCATGGCACATTAGGACCAACAACCATACGTACAACCGTTCCGCAGAATCTTTTTAAAACCATTTAGCTGGTGGGGTGACAAGCAAGGGAAGCAGTAGGTGTTGACTTCATGACACAGGAAGCTCTCTCCAGTGCTCGAAGCAGCAGTCACACAATGCTCTTTCACTTCTTTGCAGAAGGTTCAAAAATTCATTTCCAGCCGTAACTGTCCATAAAACATCTTAAAGAAAAAGGAAATGCCAGCCTGAAAACAAACAGAACCAGCTTCTCATCAAGGTCAGGTTCACATGTGTAGTGGGAATGCGTTCACACCTCAAATACCCCGATCCCAGCCAGAAATGGGGGAATGGTAGGTGCTAAGCTGATTTGTGTAAGGAAGCGGCCGCGAGTGCATCACGGCTTCCTGCGAACCCACTCACCGACCCGGTTGGGCACAGCATACCTGGGCCACGGATTCACAGATGCAAAGACTGACTTGGCTATCACGAAAAGCAAATTTGTTTAAAGTAAAAAAAAAAAAAAAAAAGGGGTGGTATGAAAAACTTGGGCAATACCCTGCAGCAACTATTTTTCATGCAGCTGGTTTTGCACAATCATACTCGCTTAGCATCTCTATCACAAGAGGCTTTCAGTGAATCTTGCAAGAAAGCTGCTGAGATATGGCTTAGGTTAAAATCATATACAGTTATGCTTTAAAACCACACCAGTCACCCTCAAAAGAACACAGAAGGTCCCAGAAAGATTATAGACAACCTCCTACTCAAAAATGATGAAAACAATATGCAAAAGTTATTCTATGCTTGGTCATCGTCTCCATTGTATTGAGATCTCATTTTCCTCAGGGTATTTAAAAAACAAAAAGATGATGAGAATGTATCTCATTTTTCTTAACCAGCATTATGACTATGACCTATGAAAATTTTTTTTCAGAACATCCATGGAGATAATCTTACCCAAAGGTCTGACCTGCAGGACTGCAGGCCAAACGTTCCAACACACACTGTACAATGAAATCAGAAGTGAAATTCCAGCTACGCACAGGCAGAATGGAAGCGTGTGTCAGTGACTGTAGGAAGCTCACGTGGGACTTCATTATTACTATTTTACCCAGCAGGAAGCAGGACAGATGGAGAAAGGCATTTTTTGGTGATTACTAATGAGCACATATTACTCTCAGTGAAAAATATCCAAATAAGAAGATATGAAGAAGTGTTAGCCATCTCAGAAGCATTACTCTGTTGCTCCCAGGCAGTTGGCAGAAGCCTTGGGTATATGACTACAGAGCATGACAGCCCCTCAGTCTCACTTTTATATCTTCTTTTTTTTGTACCCATCAAGGCTAACATAACCCAGTTCTTGGGGCTCCTGACATTTTCTTGATACATTATCAAAACTAATAAGCTCCCATTGTTAATTTTCATTTGGATAAAAGATAACTGGAAATCCCAGTAAATCACTCCTGAGAGTTTAAAATATATTCCAATAATTGTGTGCTAATAGTGAGACCTGTTAGACCATGCTGCAGACTCCCAAAGGAAGCCACATCACACTGCAGAACTAAACCTAGGCTAAATAAAGCAATCCGAGTCATGTATAAGGCAATGTTTCCTCACTAGCCATGGGATGTGTGAAAGCTTGGGTCATGGAGAGAGAGATATCTCAAAGAGAAAATTAGAGAAGAAAAAAAGCAAATCCAATTTTTTTCCTACTTATGTTTATTCATGAGCTTCACTTAACTTGATATCCTAGGAATTACTGAGCCATCATTAAATCATTCTGCAGCTGTACTTTTTATGCATCCTCCTCCAACGATAACAAAGCTTTCTGGAAACTTGCATATTTAATGAGTGCTAGGTAACTCCGTCGTGCAGCTGCAAACCCTGGTACTACTGATAGGAAGGGGGAAGCAGGAAAAAGACACTGGCTCCCCAGACAAAGCCTTCTGGAGGAGTTGAGGTCTCCCCAGCTCTCACGGCAGCAGCTGCTGCCACCTGAACTTTCCTCTCTTCCTTCCAAACAGGGCAGGTACCCTGTTTTCTGGCAAATTACCAGTTTTCTCAAGGGTGATGCGAACTTCCAGCCTGAGAATGACCACTGAACAAGTCATCTTCGAATTGCACTGGCTCTCCTGGCTGGAAGCCCTGGCCCTTTACCCTAACACTTAGTGCCCCAAATCTGCAACAGAATCAACGGGGAGAGTGGGAAAATGCTGTGGACACCTAACACACGACATCCCCAGAAGAGGGCACAATCCTTACACTGCAACTACAGAAGAGGCAGCAAATCTCTAAGCCCTAACCTTCCACGTGGCTGCAAAAACAAGCTAACTTTGTGTAGCTTGGTCAGTGTCCAAAATGCCTTTTTGAAGGTGAAATCAACTCAAAATGCAAGGAGAATTGAAAGCATTACATAAATGCACTTCAGGAAGAAGAGCAGCACAAGAAAACAAAAAAATCTTACTCTAGAGACCCCTCTCTTTTATAAATTCACCAAGCACGCTACGGAGAAGTATGACCTTGTAACTCTATGTTTTATCAGCACTATTTCATACTACACAGATATTTAACCTAAGGACAAGACTTAAAAAACACCAATCAAAACTCTAATGTCTTACAAAAGATTGGCATCTATCAGCAAAGCACTTCTTAATCATATGTTAAAGTCTTCTGCTTGGGTTTGCCACAGTTGGTTTGATACTACATTCCTCGTCCAAACAGTAAATTTAATTACCAGATTAAAGATTTTTTATTTAATTTAATGCATTATTTTCTTGCTGACATGCTGCAACTAATAGACAACCTTTTAAATAGCATTTCAGTTGCACAAATGCACATGCATATCTATTCTGAATAGAAAATAACTGAAGTATTTCACAGGGTGTGCATGGATGTATAAACACATGAAGGAAATCCAACAGCAGCAGGCGAGAAGCCTTGCACTGTCGTAGTGATGCTGCCCATCCGAGATGTAAACAAGCTTTCACCTGCAGACTACTGAAGAGACAGCAGATGTAAATGGATGCATTAGATGTTGCGTCAATAGATTCTAACAGATAGACGTTAATTGGAGTCTCCATCACTAAGATGTTTCCTGCCGACCCCCCCATTAAATTCTTGCATACAAGATAAAAGACAGAGGTCTCCTTTGCCAGTACAGACCCTGCAGTCCTGCTGGATCCCCTGACTCATATTTCCAAGGATTTACTCCTTCACAAGCCCAAGGCAATCTGCACCACAGCCTTCCACGCCCAGGTTCCTCCTGAATCCATATAACAGAATCACAGAATGATTTGGGCTGGAAGGGACCTTAGAGACCATCCAGTCCCACCCCCTGCCATGGGCAGGGACACCTCCCACTAGCCCAGGTTGCCCAAAGCCTCATCCAGCCTGGCCTTGAACCCCTCCAGGGATGGGGCATCCACAGCTTCTCTGGGCAGCCTGGGCCACTGCCTCACCCCCCACACAGTGAAACATTTCTTCCTCACATCTCATCTCCATCTCCCCTCTTTCAGCTTCAAACCGTCCCATCACCCCCTGATGAAGAGTCCCTCCCCATCTCTCCTGCAGCCCCCTTTCAGCACGGGAAGCTGCTCTAAGGTCTCCCCGGAGCCTTCTCTTCTCCAGGCTGCACACCCCCAACTCTCTCAGCCTGTCCTCGCACGGGAGCTGCTCCAGACTCTGACCATCCTCATGGCCCTCCTGCCAGGAGGGACTGAAGAGTGGCACAGTGGCAAACAAGATCACATCCTCCCCATCTACAGCAAACAGTCGGGTTTGGCCAAACAGACCTGGTTCATGCAGCCCTCAGTGCTGCCTACTCTGCTCGGTCCTGTCCTCTCCCCTCTGACTAACCTCCCGCTAGCACCTGGCGGAGCTGACACTACCAAATTTGCAAAAGGAGCAGCAGGGCAATGAAGCACTGGAGAGTCCCAGGCTCCCAAAGCAGCATCTGAACGGTGTGAATGGAAGGTGAGTCCAGTCTCACCAGGCCGAGCTCGAGATAAAGCAGCATGAAGAATGGCAGCATAAAGCAACGCACTCGCAAGAGAAAATCTGGGGCTGTTTCACACCTTGCTGCGGGTGTGTTTGCCTCATCAGGCTGTCTTCTATTCTCGGAGAAAAAGGAGACACCACAGAAACTGTACTGGTCAGCTCTGAGGGACAGAACGTTTTGCACATCGCATTACCTTCATGCAGTTTTCATCACTGTTGAATAGTCACTAGCTGATCTGACCCAGAAGCTACTGAATGAGTTTTAACTGCCGCATTTCCCAAGGGACAAGCTCTTGACATACACAAATCAGGATATATTTGGTGATTTCAGCAGAAGCACTAGATTTGCACAAACAGAGGTGTGAACACCACAGTTCACTAGCTACAGTTCATTAGTTGCTGGTGCTCATCACATTATTTAAAAAACCAAAAATGCAGTACGTTAACTTTACTGTCATGATGGCTGGGAGGGCAGAAAGGCCAAAACACCCCCAAACACAAAAAAAACCCGAACAAAAATAAGTGGAATATTTGGCAGACATTTTGCTCAAACCATCTTCTGTCTTCTTTTTCTGGAAAAATCCAACCGATTCTATCATCACTATTTCTAAAAATAACTGTCTTGATAAACAGATAATCAAAGGAATCTGTCATTAATCTTATTCAGCGGCAGCAAATACACAACAGCCTGGACTACACTCCTGTGGATTCAAGAAAAATCTCTACTAGCTACAGTTGCCTGAAGAGTAAATGGATATAACTACCCTCAAAACAACTTCTTTGCACTCAAAAGCTGTCACACCAGTAGAAGTACATGCTTTGTGTAAAAACAAAACAAAACACAACAAATCGCTGTTAGAAGCAATTTCACCAAGCATGTCCTTCTAGGATGCAAGGCCCTGCGAGATACACTGCCCAATGAGCCCCAAGCATATCACAGAGCCCCAGTGAAAACAACACGATCCAACTACCAGAAGCTGAACCTGGACAAATCCAAACAAGAAACACAAGGTGTGAGCTTTTACCTACAAAACCACTTAAATTTTAACAACTTATTCTGGCTATGATGGATTATCTTATATGAAGCCTTTTAAATCAAGACTGGGGACCTTTCTAAAATATACTGCCTAGGTCAGCAACATGTTGCAACCTGCATCAAGCAGGAAATTATAATGAGTGTCACAATCCTTTGACGTAAAACCAACCAAACAAAAAACCCAAGCAATGTGTGAAAGTGATGCAAGGGATCTCCGGCCAGAGTCAGGAACTGGTTTCAGAGCACTTAATAATGACGAACAAACTACCTTACCTTGTTTACATCCAAATATTCTAACTTTGGCACTTCCGATGTCTCTTGTTCCTCACTGCTTCCTTCATCAATGTCACTGTCTTCATCCTGTGTGGAGTCTCTCTTCTGCTCCGCACAGGAACGTTTGGTGCCCTTTTTGTCATGTTCCATCTCCCCCAGGTTCCCAGCCATGCTGGGCTTCTTCTGCTCTGCACCGTCTTCGCTAGGGAAAGTTTCCCCAGCCACGCTACAAGAAGGACTGTCGATGCCACTGTCTCTGTTGGGAATTTTCCCATTACCGTTCAGTTCTGCAGTTGAGTCTTTATTGCCAAGCTCTCCAGAGGGCTCGTTGCTCACAGTCACAGCAGTACAGCCTTCGTGGCTTTTGTTATCGGCTATGCTTAGCTCTTTAATTTTCATTATGTCTGTGTTGGACAGATCCGCGCTGCACGGTACGTCTGGCTCATTTTCCTCCAGTTCACTTTTTTCATTTGTGGAAGAGCTGCTGGAAGCCACCATGTCACAGTCACACGAGCTTGGCTGTTTGGATGAGTCCAGGCCAGGTTCCATCTTAAGAGCCAAATTTAGCTGGTTTCTTTGAAGAATATGTATAGGTTGCCTGCAGGTGAAGAGAAAGGACCACAGTCATTCACATTAACAGAGGTGCCAAAAGTGCCCTGAAAGAGAGAGGGCCTGATTATCATTTGATTCAAGTTGTATTTCTTGCACCCCCCTTACAATCCTAGGAGGCAAGTGTGTGCACGCTGCTGTAATAACATTCATCCAACAACTCCAGACAAAAACACACCACTCCTAGCTGTAACTTTGATTGAAATGGCACCACTAGGATCCTGGGCCTTTAATACTCCCCGTGTTGCCTTAAAGAACCTGGTTTGAAGGTTTGGGTGGGGAGGAATCATCTTTTAAAAGAAGCATTTGTTTGTGGGTTTGTTTGAACAGGAACTCACATTCTTCAACAGAACAAAGCCTTTGGGGCAAGGTATTTTCTGCCAGAGAGAGGATGTTTCTGAAGCACAAGAAGGCACTACTTTTTCTTTTCAAAAGACATCTTACCAGGTGATAATACACTCCAAGGCACAGTACGGTGTCTCTGTCTCCATCTCCCTCTTTACGAAAAAAATCACTTAGCGCTATCAGGTAGATTTGGTCTTCAGAGAGTTTTCGTGTGTTTGCAAAAATGAGCTGGCTTTACAGCAAAACACATAGATTTTATCCTATTTAATGCTCTTACACATAAAGTTTCAGAGGAAATGCTGTTCTCCATGATGTTGTGTCACAGTACCTTGCGATTTAACTCTCCCCTGCCTCCAAGAAGCAAGCTAACAGTATGGCTGCCATTGACTGAATCTTAGACAGAAAACTCAATTATTTTATATCAAGTTCCTATCATGCAAAAAACAATCCTGACATCAAGTCAATTTACTTCCAGTACTGGCCTTGCAGTCCCTGAAGGGGGCTACAGGAGAGATGGGGAGGGACTTTATACAAGGGCATGCAGTGACAGGACGAGGGGCAATGGATTTAAACTGGAAGAGGGCAGATTTAGATTGGATTTTAGGAAGAAATTCTTCACTGTGCAGGGGGTGAGGCAGTGGCCCAGGGTGCCCAGAGAAGCTGTGGATGCCCCATCCCTGGAGGGGTTCAAGGCCAGGCTGGATGAGGCTTTGGGCAACCTGGGCTGGTGGGAGGTGTCCCTGTCCATGGCAGGGGGTGGGACTGGATGGGCTTTAAGGTCCCTTCCAGCCCAAACCATTCTGGGATTCTATGGTTCTATGACTCTATGATTCTGCTGAAAGCAGACTCTGAGCTACTTGTTTCTGGTAGAACACTTAACAAATTCAGCAGGTCTTAAGCTCCTTAAGAATGTCTGTATGTTACAAACTAGAAGTTGCTGAAACACATGCTTTTATATATATATATATAAAACCCCAACATTGTGTGGTCAGTCAAGTTTTGCATTTCCAGTAGAAAACATCCCGAGAGCAGTTTCTACATGATAATTACAACTGTTTTCAATTGTTGTATTCTAAGTTAAAAATGCAGAGAAGGGAGATTAGAGCAGATATCGCAAAGCCATATTTACCTAATGCTTTCAAATTTCTCAATGAGCGTGTTGACTCCTGCTGATATTGGTATTTCTTCCTCTCCAGGCGCTAAGCTCCTCGATGACTTTGGATCAGCTGGCAAAGGTCGAGAAGGTGCAGGAGGAATTCTTTCCTGCCCAGGTTTGAGATGGACAGGCTTAGGAGGTACTAATAAAAGAGAGGGGAAAAAACAGGAGGATAAATCTCCATCTTCTTTATACTAAACTGTGAACAAAATCCAAACACTCAGTGCAGAACGAGGGGTATCCATTCTTTCACCATCCTTTATGAACGGCACAGGTGCAACCCAAAATTATTTCTTATGCCAAAGCAAGCTGCAGTACGCTAAAGAAAAATGATGGGCTTCTATTTTGTATTTCTACAGCCGTATCAGACGTGTTAACGAACCGAGCAGCTCGCAGAACTTTACCGCTTCCTTGTTACCAAACAGGATGCACAGCTCACACTTCGTTTTTGCAAATGCGTTCAACCATCTCAAACACCCTAACGAGTTTCCCCTCCCATGACTTTTCAAAACTCAAGCACTCTGTTGAAACACTTGTACTGGGAAAAAAATGGGGGGAAAAAAAACCAACCCAAACAAAAAAACAATCCCACTGTGGATTTCAGTGCCTTGTGTTTGCTTGGTCAAAAATGCAAAGGCAGAACATAATAGCTTTTCTTCCTTTCATTCTCCCTCCCCCATTTCTTCTGTGGTGTAGTCTTCATAAGTTTCCTTCCTCTTTTGGTTCTACATTGAGTTATAAATGATATAAATAAACACACGTTGGAAGAACATATACATTCTGCTTGAGGATTCTCTTGGAGGCGAAGGTACAAAGTATTTACTGTATTTTTTAAAAAGTGTAATGTAATGTAAATGTAATTTAAAAAAAATTATTCAGACCTTATATTGATTGCAGAGTAAATGGTTTTGGAAATACGCAAGCAGTAACCCATGGCAACAGGTTCATGTGCTGTTATAGTTTCATACAGTGAAAGCAACCTCCCACAGGCAGACCTGCCACTAGAAGGTAGGAAAACTGACCCTGAGATTACCCCCAAAGTGCACGCTGATTGCAGCAGCACTGCCAAGCATCCCCTCCAGTCTAGACTATCCAAAGACTTAACATATTAAATGAGGAAACTCTAAATACATGTTTTATTAAACAACACTTTCAAGAACAATTTATTTCAAGCATTTTCAACTTTTAAATGCTCCATATGGCACATCAGCGTAACGTGATTAACACTGTAATGGAGCTTTAATTAGCAACTGTTCTGAATGTAATTTCAGGGTTACTTGCTTTAGGAGGCTAAATGGAGGCATATGCACCCAAAAAGCCAATTTCTGGTGTCCCTACCCTGCAGAAGGCTCGGCATCTGTTCTGAGCTCCCCATCAGCCCAGATGTTCTCCCTGCTCCAGCGGATGGGGAGCTGCTACGGACAGTCAGTGATAAAGGACTGTGTAAAGAATTTTCGAGCTGCAAGTATAGGTCAGTTTTAAACTACCTACACTACTGAGTTTATTTCAGCACCAAAGAATAAAATCAAATCTTCTAAGGATTTGAGCTTTAATGGGACACTCCCTCTAAAAGGACTGATTTGCCCCATCTCCAAAACCATCTGGAATTGCTGTCTTAAAATGAAGGTGTTATAGTTCAACTTTGAAAACATCACCACAAAACCTATCTCACACAGGAATAACAGGTAAGCAGGAAAAGAAAATCATCTCGCATATAAACGGGATAGTGGAGCTCTACGTTTTGTTCACCAGGTTTTCTCTTGCAGACCGTGTGATCACTGAGTGCCCAGCCACACTTCTCCTGGTAAAAACAAAACATACAAAACAACCTAAAAAAAAGTATCCACGCAGCCATTCGGCGCATCTAGCCAGAAGAGGCAAGCTCTAGGCTCTCTACAGAAGGTGCATAATGCAGCGGGCAGACAGGCTAGAACCTACCCCACATAGTTTCAGACTGGTCCACAACACTCAAAAGTTCACTTAAAAAAAAAAACAAAAGCGCTTACACCAATAGCACTGGGTGTCACTGCTGTCCATGCAAATATTTTATGTCTTTGCTGTTAAGGGACTCCACCTGAACCACCTGAGACAACACACTCTGCACTGGACAAAAAGGGAGGAGGAAAATACCTTTGTTAGTTTTGAATTTTTATTTTCTGAAATAATTTTGAGAAATAGAGACAGAAGCAGGGAGGCAAAGCCGCTGACCTTACCAAGCACTACTTACGAAGCAAAATTTCAACCACACAAGATGTCTGCTCCAGAGCCTACACTCAGAACTCACACGGAAGCAGAGTTACATAGCACAACACAGACTTTTAAACTCAAAACCATTTTAGACCTCTACGGAAGAGTGAATGAAAGATGTGCATGCTAAAAACACACAACGCTAGATGAGCTCAACTGTATGGGTGCCCTCATCGTCGGTACTAAAGGAACAGTTGGCCCTGGAAAAAAAGTAGGTGCTGCTGTTAGGTAGGGATCCAGGATCCAAAACAGGAACCCCAGCAGAACTCCTGCCCATGTTCTGAAGGCACCTTCCACAAGTCCTGGCCCACGCTGCTGGAGCCAGCCACTGTTTTCTTGCTCCAGGTCCCAGCCACAAAGCACAACCGTGGATGCACCTTCCAGTGCCCATGCTCTGTGACATCCAGTGACAGGACAAAGGGCAATGGGTTCAAGCTGGAACATAGGAGGTTCCACTTGAATATGAGAAAAAACTTCTTCCCGGTGAGGGTGACAGAGCACTGGAACAGGCCGCCCAGAGAGGGTGTGGAGTCTCCTTCTCTGGAGACATTCAAAGCCCGCCTGGATGCGTTCCTGTGGGATCTGATCTGGGTGTCCTGCTCCGGCAGGGGGATGGGACTAGATGATCTTTCGAGGTCCCTTCCCATCTCTAACATTCGTGATTCTGTGATTCTGTGCTGTGCACAGACAAACTGGTGGAGGAAAGAAAGCAAGCAAGCTGCATGGAAGAGACATTAGTATTATGGAGGACATTTCAGGTGGCACCTGAAGGCTGAAGCCACGCGGTGGCACAGTATTTCCCCAGTCCTCCTCCTCCTCAAGGTTTTACATAGCAGCCCACGGCTGTTTGGAGGAGGTAGAAACCAAGACACAAAATCTTTGTTGCAGAAGGAACAAGTCAAATAATGAGAAGCAGCAAGACAGAATTACAAAAGAGAAAGGCAAAGTTAAATATGTGGGAGAAGGTACAGCCCAGGCTTGGCCTTGGGTTTGTAGAACAGCAGGGAATAAGGACCCTTCCCTCCCTGCAAAAGCAGCATCTCAGCCTTTGCATCACTTCAGCCCTGCCAGCACAGGAGTTTCTCACAAGTGCCTCCTCTACAGCCACGCAAACAGTCAACACCCATTTATTAGTGACTTGATGGAGGCATTTCCATCCACCACCCCACCAGTGGTGTGGCTGTCATGACTCGCTGGGAAAGCTGAGAGGATGTAATGAAGAGAAATTCAAGTGGTGTGAGTCCCACCTGCAGGTTTACTTACTTCAGTTAAGGCCCCTTGACAAGAAGAGACCTTAAAAACTACACATGATGAAGCAGATGATGAAGGGTTATCCCCTGGGAAGTGGACACACTCACAAAAAGAATAAATGACCCAACAGCACAGCCGCGGGTGGGGGCAGAGAGCTGCTCCCAGAGCCTTGGGTAGTGATGCCAGCACATCCCTCCCAACAGATCAACCAGAAACAGGCCTTAACGAGTCATGCGTGTAGCTCTAGGGAGAAAGCCCCAGGAAGAAAGGTTCTCGCATAAAATACATCAAAAACTGAGGAAAGATTTATGTCTGCTGCAAGGAAATGCACCACACTGTCACAACTACTTTTTTTGGACATGGCCACCAAGAGGAAGCAAGCATGGTTTACAGGAAAAATGTCAAATTCAATACAGTCAATTTAATAAAAACAACTTTTTAAAAAAAAAAAATATTTTGATTATTTCATTTTCCTGGAGAGGTATAGAGTGTTTTCTTTTCTTTACTGGGTATACAACCCAGACAGTAACAGGAGATCAATGAACTATAGAAGCGAGAAAAGCCATTTCAAATTTACAAAGTCAATAAAAGCGAAGAGAAAAAAAATTGCACCATCTTCCCTTCCTTCGAAAGTATTGTACTTATTGCTCTCTACTGTCCTATAAGCTCATTGCAGATACTTGTTTAAGGTACTTTTGTTATAAAGAAGTAAAGTGAAATAATAAAAACTTTATTTAAAATTTATGACAAAGAAGTGCCTTTCAGGAAAGTGACTGGCACATCCATGACCAAGACTTGTACTGCTGATTTTTAGTTTTGGCTGACTTTGCTCAGTCTGAACAAACCTTAGGTGGCCTGATTTTTGAGTATTGGGTATTATGCAACAGTCTCTCATGGGAATTTTCATTGGGACTCCTGTTTCTTGTTGGACTACTTTTCAGGGACATCAAGAAGCCCAACAAACTGAGTTCTGTCAAAAAAAAAGTATTAGCAAGAGTAACTAGCCAAGAAAGCATTTCATCCTTTTCAGAGCATTAACCAGCCAGTAAGATACACTGACTTCTTTGTTTCTAAGCTTATGGCTGTAATGGGAGAGAGAGCTTGGATGTGTGGAAGCAGCAGAAAGAAGCAGCACTACCATCTCACTGATACATTAAACTAATCTACTTGCGTAACTTTGAAGCATGATTTGAATCAAGCTAAGTCCTCCAACATTTCTGAAATACTGACATATAAAAACCAGGCTATGTCCTCACTAATTGGGCATCAGTGCAATCAGTACAACTGCAAAGGATCTACACCAGCTGAAGTCATTCCATTTCTTACTGAACAGGTACTTCTGCTATTCCTTTTTATTGTTAGCATTGACAACACTCATGGAACATTCATGAATTAAACCTGGACAAGCAAGACCTCAGGGTGAAAGCTCCACAAACACACAAACCTCCTGAGATGTTTCAAGCATGATCTAGTATAGAATCACAGAATCACGAAATGGTTTGGGTTGGCAAGGACCTTAAAGCCCATCCAGTGCCACCCCCTGCCATGGGCAGGGACACCTCCCACTAGCCCAGGTTGCCCAAAGCCTCATCCAGCCTGGCCTTGAACCCCTCCAGGGATGGGGCATAATTTAACATTTAAGCTCTACTTCCAGAATCAGAAAATGCAATGCTTTCTTTGCAGTGGTTCAAGGCTGAATGCATATCAGAAGATTGCTTTTGTTTTGGGAGTCATTTGAATGGGGAGAGGGTGGTGGTGCAGAGGCTCTGTTTGCACCCTAATGGTCACCAACCTATCTTTCCTCTTTTCCTCACATCACAATCACTGTCTATGACATGGACATGCTTCTTAAAAAAAATGTTGGTTTATGAACTTCGTATTTTCTTCAGGCTCACCCTCCTTTGTTCCAAACACCTCTCAAACGATATGTTTTCTGCATCCACAGTTACCTTACGGCAAGCCCTCATTATATACCATATTTTAACCAACTCCACACAGCAGGGGGTGGGAGCAGTGGAGGCACTTAAAAAACTGACATTCCAAAGAGAAACCACACGTTGATGGAGAAAGAAAAACAATTTAGCCCCTTTCAGGAAATCCACTGCAGCCTGTTTTTAGCATTCAAAAGTTTTAGGGAAGAAAAGCCTGGGGAGGCCAAAAGACCTGCCTGGAGAGCAGCTGGAACATGCTTCTTCCCAGCTTCTCTTCTACCATGCTTTGGATTGCCACCTATGTGACTGAGTCAGGCAGGTCTGTGGAATTACCACTGCCCATATGCTACCCTTGCACGTGCCTGGTTTAGCTTCTATTTCTTATTTTTAAAATACATTCATTCCATTTAGGCATTTCCTGTTGCTACGCATAGTTCTTACAATAAATGGAAAACAGCCCAGGTTTAAACAATAAGCTATTCTTACCTAAAGACTTAAAAAAAAAAAAAAAAAGAATGAAAGCAATATTGCTAAATTAAACTTACACTTCACAGCTGCATGAGGTATAACAACAGTACAGGAAATATAAATTGACAAGTTAAGCAATCAGTTATTCCTGAATCAATTTCTTCTTGAAGGCTTCCCCAGGCGGTTATCTAACACTGGGAAAAAACGAAGATAATCAAACCCTACCAGCTGTACTTGAACCTTAGAACATAAAAATAACAATTTTGCTGTGACCTAAAATTAAAACAATTCATTAAAAAAATATTACACTTCACGTGCGATAGAAGCTTGTACAATTGCTAGAAGGACAAAGCCACTTGCCTTGGGGTTTCTGCAGAGGATGCATTTTGGCCAGTGGAGTTTTGGTTTTGGGCTTCCTTCCAGTCTGATGGATACATTGCGCCGGGCTGATGTGCTGCCGTTCCCCACACGCTTCCAACACCGGATTGGAGTCAATGTGACATTTGATTTGAAAAGGAGAACAAGGGCAACCTGAGGGAGGGGGGAAAAAAGGCAATATTCATTTCATTCTGTTAGTCCCAAAGAAAATCCGTGCTACTTCTAGAAGCGTATCACTCATCCAAGTTCCCGAGAAGAGGGAAGGGGCAGAAGAGGGCTGAGCCATTCACTCACAAGTTATTTCAACCACTAAATCCAGCTTTAATAATCATCTCAAACTGTCTGACTGGTAAGACAGATGGAGTTTTGGTAACCATATCTTCTTCACTATGAACACCCAAAAAAAAAAAAAAAAAGACGAAACATAAAAGATAAAAACAATTTCTAAGGGATTTCTCCAAACAGAAATACAAGTGCCCAGGCTTGGAACATCACGTTATTTGGTAAAATACACCTCAGTTACATGGAGTTAGAAACGGGCCCCGTGCTGGGGGGAACAGCGCAAGTGCCATTCCTTCAGGAGATCTAATCATTCAAGCTGCATTTAACTGCTATTTATTATTCCTCCTTACATAAAATATTAATACTCCTTCAAAAGGCTCCGGACTAGAAGATGCCATTAAGATATGATCCAGTGGGAAAACAGAGAAAGAAGTGATTAACATGTTTGTTTGCCTTTTAATTTAACATTCTTGATTCATTTCTGTAGGCGCTGTGGGAATAAACCCATATATTCACTTTAACATAGTGGATACTGAATTTTTCTGATTTGGGTTTTTTTTAGATGTAGCCTACAGCTACATGAAATCCCCATGTCAGCCTCACTACTGTGTCATGAGAGGGAAAAAAAAAAAAAAAAAAAAAAAGAAGAGTTTAGAAAGGACTGTGGTTTAAAACGGCTACATATGAACACATGAATATATGTGCTTCCTGAGGAGCATACTAAAGAAGTGGAAAATGTATCTAACGTAGGAATTTGAACACTAATCCATTAAAAAAAGGCAAAGAAAACATGACAAACATTCTTTCCATATTCTCATTTTAAAGTAGACTATCTGAAATTACCAGCATCTTGTTGGAGTGAGAGGTGACCTGCATCATGTAGAAAGAATTCATCTAAACGCGAAAAATCAATCTTCACCTTCCCGTGATGTGCTCATGGATGTGGCACTAGCTTCACAATGCGACTGCTCTTGGCCAGATTTATATTAAGACAAAAAAACTGAAATGACAAGCACCTCTATCCACATCAGCTATATTATCCTGGGTTTATACTAATGGTGTTAAATCAGGATGTGACCTTTTGAATAACGACTTTGAAGCCTGAGCTGTACAGATGGCTTGGGAAGATTAGCTGAGAGCTAGCCTCAAAACGCAGAAACTTTCACAGTGATACAGATTACAGATTTTTTTTTTTAAATAAACATAAAATATTAAACTCAGTTTTGCCGACAAAAAAGAGATTCAGATGACACAAATCTATTTACTGATCTCTGCCACCCAAATATACAACCCCTGAATCCCTCAGTGTGGCTGCCAGTTGCTGCTGTTGAAGCTTCATTAGCATTTCTACCGCAAAATCTGCTTTTCAGCAGATTTGAGACCAGCTATTAAAACATCCTTCCAGCTGAAACCAGGAATTTTTAAGTACTAGGTTTTATTCAAATATAATTTCACTTATCAGGAAAATGCAGCGAAAGTAAGAGTGTATTATTAGAGCAGATTAATAGATTATTGCAAACACATCATCACAGAAAGAGCTTCTGCAGAAGCCTGGGCTCTGGGTACCGAGAGCTCCCTGTGACAGCAACAGCAGCGCTGCAGTGGGACAGCTTTTCAGAGAAAGGAATGAGACTTCTTCCTTATTAACAGTAGCTCAGCACAGCAAGAAATTAAAATAGTGCACAAGGGAAAAGCTCTAATTCATGGAAACATAAAGGGCAGTGTGCAGAAGGCAGAGCTCGGTGTTCCAGCAGGCATCCACCATCCCTGGAACGCAATCCAGCCACGTTGTATTTTCCCAAAAATTACTTTAACGATCCAATTCTAAGTGGACAAATCTCTGCACCTACAGCAGCTCTGGAAGACACCTCTAGCTGTGCCATGTGGGTTTGATCACAGAAGCATGGCACCAGCCTCGTCTCTGGCGAGCGCCAGGGCCCCAGGCGATGCTGGCCATGAGCGCAGTGCCCCCACGCTCCCCCATCCTCGCACCCTGGCGCCGCATCCCTGGCGGATGCTCAGCTGGGATCAGCACAGCCACAGGGACTGTCTTGCTGGTATAATTTTTAAAGTTTCAAAAGGCACTAAACCCCAATTCGTTTTTCTTTCCTACTGAGATTCATTGTGAAAGCAGGTCCGACCACCTTTCTTTCTTACTGATAAGAAGAAGAGCTGGTGGTTACTTGCTTGCTTTCAAGGGCACGGCACCACCAGGCACCTTTTTTATTTCAAGGCTAAAAGCTCTTACGACCTGCTTATGTTACTGAAAAGTAGAGTGCTTCAATCCTTATTTTATAAATCCAGACACAAATTTTTCTCTTCTGTGTAATCCTGTCAAACAATCAAGGCACAAGATCCTCCACTGGGAATTACTCAACAAATGCATCCAGCTTGCCCGAAAGCTCTGAACCTGGCTCTGAATGCTCTAGGGCTTGTGCTCAGAGCCATTTGCAGAGTAAATACTTTGTGAAGCCTTCTGCTATTTCCCATTAAGCAAGATCTGATATTAAAACAAAAAAAATCATTTTTTCTCTAAAAATACAGTATTTTATATCATCTTGTATATCGCATATATAGGTTACTGCTGAAATATATCACTGTTCACCTACTGCCCACATCGAACTCATTTATTGATGGACATCCAAAGAGCAAGTGGGCACAAAGCAGAACAAAAAAAATTGATAAGTAGTTGAAAAGAAGAGGAACTTGGAAAGCCACAAGTGCCTTACACACCAAATGTAGTGCTGGCTCTAAATCAAGAAAAATACGCATGGGTGAAGCCACAGAAGTGGCTTTCATTCTTTTTGATTTAGTTTAAGCCACGATGGTTCTCTCTCTTCATCTCTGATGTGGCCCCTAAGGGCTGCTTTTTCCACACAGACAAAAATCTTTTCCCTACCTATTTTTTCAAGTGCTATAAAATGATCTGTGAAAACAAGATTTACTGGATTATTTCACATGGAATTCTCTGAAAGTAAAACCACAGTCTGCTGAGCGCGCTCTAGGGTGCTCCTGGGCATGGAACACAAGGGGGACAACATAAATAGGGTCGAGGAAAGATTTCTTCACTGCAAGAGTGATCAGGCACTGGAACAGGCTGCCCAGGGCACTGGTGGAGTCACCATCCTTGGAGGGGGGCAAGAAACGTG